AAAAACAAAAAAATAACAGAAGTAGCCACAGAAGAGAGTAACAGACGTTTACCCTTGTTCTTTGGGAGGGTTTTCTCCCACGACTTTAGCGGCTTTTTTCCTGACGTATGTGGCTCCGTGGGAATTCTCCAGCTCGTCAATGTCCACGTTGAAAGACATGGTGTCTGCAGACGGTAGGTGTTTGCTGAGCCTGTAGAAAAAAGCTAAGGATGCAACAACTGCTGACATCCAGATTACATCCTGGTCTTCCTGGGTTACATTTACTTCAATAAGGTATGGATCATTTGTAAAATTAATAAACTATTTTGTCAACAAAATACCAAGCTTTGTTGAAAATGAGCTAAAGGTCGTTTTATCTCTTTTGTTTTCTCTCTGACTTCCAAGCACAAAAACATTAGTTTCCCACAGAGAAAAATAACAAATCCTCAAATTGAAGGAGCTAAAATCAGAATATATTTGATATTTTTCACAAAACAAATGTTATTTGAGAATCCAAATATGTTCCAGTTAGTAAAAAAAAACAAAAAAAAAACATAAAACAAAACCGTTTAAGCATCCATAAGTTGTATTTAATAATATGAAAGGATACGATTTGGCTTTATCCGTGTCCACTAGAGAATATGCAGAGATGAGTTGTGCCAATGTGTGGACGTCCTTGGTGTTTTGTCTGTTTTGAGAAAAGTGATTTTTATGAAAACAGTTTGATGACATTTGAGGTATATTTTATAAAGAAATAAAACCAGCATCTGCGAGATTTAAAAAAAATAAAAAATAAAATAAAAAGACTTGACACATGTTGAACCAGCCGAGTGTTTAGCAGGGATTTAACTCACTTCCACAGCTGCTCCAGGTCACTAATGGCTTCTTTTTTCCGTCCATACTTCAGCTTGAAATTGGCAGCTTCTCTTACAAGAGCCAAATGTGTAGCAGATCCAGGCTGTGCAGGAGAAAAGACACAGTGGGAACACGACCACACGTCTGAAATGAAAGCTAACTGAAAGTGTTTGACCTATACACAACAGAAATTAAAGTGTAAAACAGTGGTTCAGACTTGCACAACACGAACCACCATCCGTGACACACAAACCTGTTCAGACTGGTAATGCTCAATAGCTTGTTTGAAAACATCGATGGCGCTGTCGATGTCTTCTTCATGGGAGTACATTGTTACCAGAGCTGAAACCTGAAGAGACGATGACATGGTCAAAATAAATGTATGAGGGAACAAAAAACGTAAAAGTCAACAATTTTGACATTAACGGGGCATTTTAATTAAGAAAAACAACAATTGAAGAAAAAAAAAAGTAAAAGTAGCATCTTTAGTCTTACCATCCCTGGTTTGTGCTTGAACTCTTCAATAGACCTCAGGACATCACAGGCTTTTGTCACATGACCTGAAGACCAAACCATTCATTGGATTATAACACCTAATGAGGAGCATGTATCAAAATTAAACTGCTCAAAGTTTAAAGGTAAAAAACCTTTTGAAGTTGCACTCGTTTGTTTCTTTGTTAATTATTGTTGTTTCAGTACTCAGGCGATAATAATCAATGTGCGTGTTTGTTTTAGGAAGCTAGAAATATGAAATACTATCACGTCCACAGAGAAAAAAAACAGTAAGACAGAGCGGGGTGTGTGTGTTCGAATGCAGATCACTACCTTGTACTAAATAGAGTTGTGCCATTGTCAGTTTGATGCCAGACGCACTCTCTGGATTCTGATCGGAGAATTGCTGCAAAAGAAAAAAAAAGAAAGAAAAGAAAAGAAAAGAAAAAGACCAGTTAACAGAATTAATGAAACTATTAATTACTGAAGGACAAAATACGAACATTTTCATCCAAACCCAATAGTGTTGTAAGTGTTTTAGGGCATCTTTTTTTTTGTATCCCTTTTTGTATTCCCGTCTTCACAGTTAAGCATCACTTTTAACCGTGAAGACATTTTTCAGTATTTTTAAAAACCACGCAACCACAGTGAAAACATTTCGTAGATGAATTCTTGTAAAAAAAATAAAAATAAAAATAAAAAACTGAAAAAAGCAAATCTTTCAGTACTTTTTCCTGCTTCTATACTTTTTAACATTTTCATTGAAGGATTTTTAAAGTGCGATATTAACTATATATTCAATCAGCTTTCACCACTGTGATTTTTTAGGTTAACTGGTGCATCATTTGATCATTTTCTCATAATCAGACAAAAGGAGGAGAATGTGTATCGGTTCTCATAATAAGGAGCAGTGTGCATCATTAATACCTGGAGCAGCTCTATGGCCCTGCTGTGCTGCTTCTCTCTGCACAGCTGAGCCACCTGGATAAGGACCGGCCGCGGATGTCCTGGATTTTGAGCCTGAAGACTGGATGACAGCTTCCTGCACTGGTCAGCCTGTTAACGGGCAAAAGCACCATCGGTGAGAAAATAATTAC